AGAGACAGGTCTGTCTCCTGACCCAGACGCAGCCGAGGGGGCTAGTAGTGAGGCGGAGACCCTACTTGATGATGAGGAGGTTGATCGCACTTGGCAGCCTCGTCGTCATCAGGCAATTTCTTCCGCATCATCAGGAGAAGAGGGTGCCAGCTTGGCAGCGAGCAAAACAGTCGGTGGGTTGCCCAGGAGGCAGCAGGGTCGCAGCAGTGTCAGTGGAGCCAAACGGCCACGGAGTAGAGCACCAGCTCCACTGCAGCCTACCACCACGGCCAGTAGTGGTGCCGGTGTGCACGGAGGAAGTAGCAGTCAGCCAGTGAGGAGTAGCGGGGGCAAAGTTTCCTACTCGGCGGTGTGGCAATTTTTCGTCAAGCCGCCCGAGGAAGTAAACGTAGCCGTATGTCGACTATGTGGCCAGAAAGTCAAGCGTGGCCAGGGGGCCCATGTTGGGACTACAGCGTTGCGTCAGCATATGCAGCGTCGCCATTGGTGGCCTGGGAAAACCGTGATAAAGATACGGCGGTTCTGCCTGCCCCAGCCCCCGCTCCATCACCCGCTCCGTTACTTGCTCCGTCACCCGACGTCAATCGCCCTCTATCAGCCAGTCAAGGCTCCAACACCTCTGCTGAGGGGAGTTGTCGCTCGTTGGCATCTTCCGCTCGTTCAGATGCTCCTTCTCCTGCTACTCCTCTTCACGGATTCCGTCAGCAGTCTTTCTTGGAATCCGTTTCCAAGAGACAACAGTTTGCGAGCACGCACCCGACGGTGCAAAAGCTGAACGTCCTCCTGTCCAAGTTGCTGGTGCTGCAGTCCCTCCCTTTCCAAGTGGTGGACTCAGCACCTTTCCGAGAAAATGATGGCTTGTGCCGCGCCGCTGGAGAGTGCCAAGCCGTCATTTCTTCGCCAAAAAGGCAGTGCCAGCCCTGCATTCACATGTAGAAGAGATGGTGGGCCAGTCTTTGAGCATGTCGGTCTCTGCCAAAGTGCACGGCAGCGCCGACGTGTGGAGCTGTAACTACGGTCAGGGGGACAGTACATGTCATTTACGGCCCACTGGGTGAACGTGGTGCCGGCACAGCCGCACCAGCAACTTGGACAGGTCACGACGCTTTTGCCTCCACGTTTGCACGTCCTTGGTCCAGCAAAGATGTCCGCCTCTACCACCCTTCTTCTTCCGCCGTGTCCTCAGCCGCCACCCCCCGTGCCAAGTCCCATTACCCGACCGGCATATCACATGTGCAGGGCGCAACGGTGTCACGCTGTGCTGCACCTGGTATGCCTTGGCGAACGTAGTCACACAGGGGAGGAACTTCTGAGTGTAATGAACAGAGAAATCGACAGATGGCTGTCTCCGCGCAAACGAAAATCGGAACCATGTTGACCGACAACGGAAAGAACATGGTGTCTGCTCTGCGTCAAGGAAGGTTGTGCCATGCGCCATGCATGGCTCACGTGTTCAATCTGGTTGTCAAGCGGTTCCTAAAATCCACCATCCCACTGCAAGACATCCTTAAAATGTCACGTAAACTTTGCATGCATTTCAGCCATTCCTACACCGCAAAGCACACCCTCCTTGAGCTGCAGCGGCAGAACGGAATTCCACAGCATCGCCTGATCTGCGACGTTGCAACAAGGTGGAATTCAACCCTACACATGTTAGACCGCCTTTACGAGCAGCGAAAGGCCATCACCGATTTCCTGATGTTACAAGCGGATAAAGGTACTCCCCTGTGTAACTTCGATGTCAGCCATTGGCAGCTCATGCGTGACACCTGCCGCTTGCTCAGGCCCTTTGAGGAGGCCACGCTATTCGTGAGTCGGCAGGACTATGGGATGAACGACGTCATTCCTCTGTTGCACGTCCTGGAACAAATGCTGTTAACAATGGCTGGTCAGGGTGCGGTAGACGTGGCGCACAGATCTCAACGCCACATGACCCCTGTGGGGGCAGGACAGGAAGAAGAGGAGGAGGTAGAGGAGGACATTTGTGCTCAGGAATTATTGAGTGAAATGGGTGGTTTTTCCACTCAGCGGACAGGAGTGGAGGAGCAGGAGCATCTGGTAGAGGAGGAGGAGGAGGAGACAGAGGACCCAGACGCACCGTGGCAGTATGCTGTGGAGATGGAGGCAGGGAGTCCCTCGCATTCCTTGGCACAAATGGCCCATAGCATGCTCGGTTGCTTGCGTAGCGACAGCCGAATAATAACCATCAGACAGAGGGATGACTTTTGGCTGTCCACCTTGTTGGACCCTCGCTACCGTTCCAAAATGGTGGCCTTTTTTCACACCTGCTGAGAGGGAGGCCAAAATTACGTACTATAAAAACCACCTATGTAGTCAGTTGGTCTCTGCCTTTCTGCGCCAACGTCCATCCTCAGACACTGTGGGCCCTGTGCGCTCGCGTTCCGCTGCCATGGCAGCAGGGGAGGGGTGGGGTGGTAGGAGCAGTGGCAGCTCCACCAGCAGCGGCTGCCTCAGTCTGCAGTCGATGATGAGTAGCTTTCTTCACCAGCGCAGTGTGAGGAAACTACTAACCAGCCGCAGCAGCAGCAGCAGCAGCAGCATCAGGTGGACCTGGAGCAGGCTCAAACAACAGGCTTGGGCCTACTTGGACAGCACCCTGCCAACCGAGGTAGACAATCCCCTTGACTACTGGGCAACGAAACTTGACCTTTGGCCCCAACTAGCTGAATTTGCCCTTGAAAGGCTGTCATGCCCGGCCAGTAGCGTGGCATCGGAGCGCGTGTTTAGTGCGGCAGGAGGTATTGTAACTCCGCGGAGGACACGACTGTCCACCCAAAGTGTGGAGAGACTCACGTTTGTGAAAATGAATCAGGCGTGGATTAGTCTGGATTTCAAACCACCAGTTCCTGACACAACTGACTAAATCCGCCATGAATCATGCCCCAAACATGTGCCACTTTCAGGTCTCCTCCTCACACTGCTGGTGTGTTCCATTTTGTCATAGGGTGCTGGCAGATTACGGGCCTCCCATAGCTGCTGCCAGGCCCCTAATCTGCCATGGGCCCCCGTACCGCCTCCTCATGCTGCTGCCTCCTCAGTGCTGCTGGGTCCCAGGTCCACAGTGTGTCATGCCATGTGCCACTTTCAGGTCTCCTCACACTGCTGGTGTGTTCCATTTTGTCATAGGGTGCTGGCAGATTACGGGCCTCCCATAGCTGCTGCCAGGCCCCCTAATCTGCCATGGCCCCTGTACCGCCTCCTCACGCTGCTGCCAGGTCCACAGTGTGTCATGCCATGTGCCACTTTCAGGTCTCCTCACACTGCTGGTGTGTTCCATTTTGTCATAGGGTGCTGGCAGATTACGGGCCTCCCATAGCTGCTGCAGGCCCCTAATCTGCCATGGGCCCCTGTACCGCCTCCTCATGCTGCTGCTGCTGCCAGGTCCACAGTGTGTCATGCCATGTGCCACTTTCAGGTCTCCTCACACTGCTGCTGTGTTCCATTTTTTGTCATAGGGTGCTGGCAGATTACGGGCCTCCCATTGCTGCTGCCAGGCCCCTAATCTGCCATGGGCCCCTGTACCGCCTCCTCATGCTGCTGCTGCCAGGTCCACAGTGTGTCATGCCATGTGCCACTTCAGGTCTCCTCACACTGCTGCTGTGTTCCATTTTGTCATAGGGTGCTGGCAGATTACGGGCCTCCCATTGCTGCTGCCAGGCCCCTAATCTGCCATGGGCCCCTGTACCGCCTCCTCACGCTGCTGCTGCCAGGTCCACAGTGTGTCATGCCATGTGCCACTTTCAGGTCCTCCACACACTGCTGGTGTGTTCCATTTTGTCATAGGGTGCTGGCAGATTACGGGGCCTCCCATAGCTGCTGCCAGGCCCTAATCTGCCATGGGCCCCTGTACCGCCTCCTCATGCTGCTGCCAGGTCCACAGTGTCTCATGCCATGTGCCACTTTCAGGTCTCCTCACACTGCTGCTGTGTTCCATTTTGTCATAGGGTGCTGGCAGATTACGGGCCTCACATTGCTGCGGCCAGGCCCCTAATCTGCCATGGCCCCTGTACCGCCTCCTCACGCTGCTGCCAGGTCCACAGTGTCTCATGGGTCCCTGTACGGCCTCCCATTGCTGCTGTCTCCATCGCCACACTCTGCCATGTGCCACTTTCAGGTCTCCTCACACACTGCTGGTGGTTCCATTTTGTCATAGGGTGCTGGCAGATTACGGGCCTCCCATTGCTGCTGCCAGGCCCCTAATCTGCCATGGGCCCCTGTACCGCCTCCTCACGCTGCTGCCAGGTCCACAGGTCCACATGGGTCCCTGTGTCATGCCATGTGCCACTTTCAGGTCTCTCCTCACACTGCTGCTGTGTTCCATCATTTTGTCATAGGGTGCTGGCAGATTACGGGCCTCCCATTGCTGCTGCCAGGCCCCTAATCTGCCATGGGCCCCCGTACCGCCTCCTCGCTCTGCCACGCTGCTGCCAGGTCCCATTGCTGTGTGTCATGCCATGTGCCACTTTCAGGTCTCCTCACACTGCTGCTGTGTTCCATTTTGTCATAGGGTGCTGGCAGATTACGGGCCTCCCATTGCTGCTGCTGCCAGGCCCCTAATCTGCCATGGGCCCCTGTACCGCCTCCTCACGCTGCTGCCAGGTCCACAGTGTGTCATGCCATGTGCCACTTTCAGGTCTCCTCACACTGCTGGTGTGTTCCATTTTGTCATAGGGGCTGCTGGCAGATTGCGGGCTCCATTGTCATAGGGTGCTGGCCAGGCCCCTAATCTGCCATGGGCCCCTGTACCCGCCTCCTCATGCTGCTGCCAGGTCCACAGTGTGTCATGGGTCCCTGGGCCTCCCATGCCCTCCTCACGTGATGCTGCTGACACCGCCTCACTCTGCTGCCATGTCCATCGCCACACTCTGCCATGTGCCACTTTCAGGTCTCCTCACACTGCTGCTGTGTTCCATTTTGTCATAGGAGTGCTGGCAGATTACGGGCCTCCCACATTGCTGCTGCCAGGCCCCTAATCTGCCATGGGCCCCTGTACCGCCTCCTCATGCTGCTGCCAGGTCCCAGTGTGTCTCATGGGTCCCTGTACCGCCTCCCATTGCTGCTGTCTCCATCGCCACACTCTGCCATGTGCCACTTTCAGGTCTCTCTCACACTGCTGCTGGGTTCCATTTTTGTCATAGGGTGCTGGCAGATTACGGGCCTCCCATTGCTGCTGCTGCCAGGCCCCTAATCTGCCATGGGCCCCTGTACCGCCTCCTCATGCTGCTGCCAGGTCCACAGTGTGTCATGTCCCTGTGACCACTTTCCCAGCTGCTGTCCCGCCACACTCACTGCTGCAACTTTAGGGTCCATTGCTGTCATGTCTCCATCGCCACATTACGGGCCTCATGCCATGTGCCAGGCCAGAGGCCTCCGCCCCTGCTGCTGTCTCCCACACTCTGCCATGTGCCACTTTCAGCTCCTCACACTGCTGGGGTTCCATTTTGTCATAGGGTGCTGGCAGATTACGGGCCCCATTGCTGCTGCCAGGCCCCTAATCTGCCATGGGCCCCTGTACCGCCTCCTCATGCTGCTGCTGCCAGGTCCACAGTGTCTCATGGGTCCCTGTACCACGCCTCCCATTGCTGCTGCTGTCTCCATCGCCACACTCTGCCATGTGCCACTTTCAGGTCTCCTCACACTCCTGCTGGGTTCCATTTGTCATAGGATGCTGGCAGATTACGGGCCTCCCATGCTGCTGGCTCCAGGCCCCTAATCTGCCATGGGCCCCTGTACCGCCTCCTCACGCTGCTGCCAGGTCCACAGTGTGTCATGGGTCCCTGTACTGGCCAGCCCCATTGCTGCTGTCTCCATCGCCACATCTGCCATGTGCCACTTTCAGGTCTCCTCACACTGCTGCTGGGTCCATTTTTTTGTCATAGGTGCTGGCAGATTACCTCCCATTGCTGCTGCCATTGCCCCTGCTGCCAGGCCCCCCGTCTGCCATCCAGCCTGCCACTGCCCCCTGTTCCATGGCATCCCCAGACACGGGCCTCCCATTGCTGCCAGTCCACAGTGTCTCCATCCCCCTGTACCCGCCATTGCTGCCTCCATCGCCACTGCTGTCATGTGCCACTTTCAGGTCCTCACACTCACTGCTGCTGGGTTCCATTTTGTCATAGGTGCTGGCAGATTACGGGCCTCCCATTGCTGCTGCCAGGCCCCTAATCTGCCATGGGCCCCTGTACCGCCTCCTCATGCTGCTGCTGCCAGGTCCACAGTGTCTCATGGGTCCCTGTACCGCCTCCCATTGCTGCTGTCTCCATCGCCACACTCTGCCATGTGCCACTTTCAGGTCTCCTCACACTGCTGGGTTCCATTTTGTCATAGGATGCTGGCAGATTACGGGCCTCCCCCATTGCTGCTGGCCAGGCCCCTAATCTGCCATGGGCCCCTGTGTACCGCCTCCCTCACGCGCTGCTGCCAGGTCCACAGTGTCTCTCATGGGTCCCCTGTACCGTGCCTCCCATTGCTGCTGTCTCCATCGCCACACTCTGCCATGTGCCACTTTCAGGTCTCCTCACACTGCTGCTGGTTCCATTTTGTCATAGGGTGCTGGCAGATTACGGGCCTCCCATTGCTGCTGCCAGGCCCCTAATCTGCCATGGGCCCCCCTGTACCGCCTCCTCATGCTGCTGCCAGGTCCACAGTGTGTCATGGGTCCCTGTACGGCCTCCCATTGCTGCTGTCTCCATCGCCACACTCTGCCATGTGCCACTTTCAGGTCTCCTCACACTGCTGCTGGGTTCCATTTTGTCATAGGGTGCTGGCAGATTACGGGCCTCACATTGCTGCGGCCAGGCCCCTAATCTGCCATGGCCCCTGTACCGCCTCCTCATGCTGCTGCCAGGTCCACAGTGTCTCATGGGTCCCTGTACCGCCTCCCATTGCTGCTGTCTCCATCGCCACACTCTGCCATGTGCCACTTTCATGAGTCTCCTCCTCACACTGCTGCTGGGTTCCATTTTGTCATAGGGTGCTGGCAGATTACGGGCCTCCCATAGCTGCTGCCAGGCCCCTAATCTGCCATGGGCCCCTGTACCGCCTCCTCATGCTGCTGCCAGGTCCACAGTGTGTCATGGGTCCCTGTACGGCCTCCCATTGCTGCTGTCTCCATCGCCACACTCTGCCATGTGCCACTTTCAGGTCTCCTCACACTGCTGCTGCTGGTTCCATTTTGTCATAGGGTGCTGGCAGATTACGGGCCTCCCATTGCTGCTGGCCAGGCCCCTAATCTGCCATGGGCCCCTGTACCGCCTCCTCACGCTGCTGCCAGGTCCACAGTGTGTCATGGGTCCCTGTACCTGCCTCCCATTGCTGCTGTCTCCATCGCCACACTCTGCCATGTGCCACTTTCAGGTCTCCTCACACTGCTGCTGGGTTCCATTTTTTGTCATAGGATGCTGGCAGATTACGGGCCTCCCCATGCTGCTGCCAGGCCCCTAATCTGCCATGGGCCCCTGTACCGCCTCCTCATGCTGCTGCCAGGTCCACAGTGTCTCATGGGTCCCAGGTCCCATTGCTGCTGTCTCCATCGCCACACTCTGCCATGTGCCACTTTCAGGTCTCCTCACACTGCTGCTGGGTTCCATTTTGTCATAGGGTGCTGGCAGATTACGGGCCTCACATTGCTGCGGCCAGGCCCCTAATCTGCCATGGGCCCCTGTACCGCCTCCTCACGCTGCTGCCAGGTCCACAGTGTGTCATGGGTCCCTGTACCGCCTCCCATTGCTGCTGTCTCCATCGCCACACTCTGCCATGTGCCACTTTCAGGTGTCCTCACACTGCTGCTGCTGGTTCCATTTTGTCATAGGATGCTGGCAGATTACGGGCCTCACATTGCTGCGGCCAGGCCCCTAATCTGCCATGGGCCCCTGTACCGCCTCCTCACGCTGCTGCCAGGTCCACAGTGTGTCATGGGTCCCTGTACGGCCTCCCATTGCTGCTGTCTCCATCGCCACACTCTGCCATGTGCCACTTTCAGGTGTCCTCACACTGCTGCTGGGTTCCATTTTGTCATAGGGTGCTGGCAGATTACGGGCCTCACATTGCTGTGGCCAGGCCCCTAATCTGCCATGGGCCCCTGTACCGCCTCCTCACGCTGCTGCCAGGTCCACAGTGTCTCATGGGTCCCTGTACGGCCTCCCATTGCTGCTGTCTCCATCGCCACACTCTGCCATGTGCCACTTTCAGGTGTCCTCACACTGCTGCTGGGTTCCATTTTGCCATAGGGTGCTGGCAGATTACGGGCCTCACATTGCTGCGGCCAGGCCCCTAATCTGCCATGGGCCCCTGTACCGACTCCTCATGCTGTGACGTTGCAACAAGGTGGAATTCAACCCTACATATGTTAGACCGCCTTTACGATCAGCGAAAGGCCATCACCGATTTCCTGATGTTACAAGCGGATAAAGGTACTCCCCTGTGTAACTTAGATGTCAGCCATTGGCAGCTCATGCGTGACACCTGCCGCTTGCTCAGGCCCTTTGAGGAGGCCACGCTATTCGTGAGTCGGCAGGACTATGGGATGAACGACGTCATTCCTCTGTTGCACGTCCTGGAACAAATGCTGTTAACAATGGCTGGTCAGGGTGCGGTAGACGTGGCGCACAGATCTCAACGCCACATGACCCCTGTGGGGGCAGGAAAGGAAGAAGAGGAGGAGGTAGAGGAGGACTTTGGTGCTCAGGAATTATTGAGTGAAATGGGTGGTTTTTTCCACTCAGCGGACAGGAGTGGAGGAGCAGGAGCATCTGGTAGAGAGGAGGAGGAGGAGGAGACAGAGGACCCAGACGCACCGTGGCAGTATGCTGTGGAGATGGAGGCAGGGAGTCCCTCGCATTCCTTGGCACAAATGGCCCATAGCATGCTCGGTTGCTTGCGTAGCGACAGCCAAATAATAACCATCAGACAGAGGGATGACTTTTGGCTGTCCACCTTGTTGGACCCTCGCTACCGTTCAAAAATGGTGGCCTTTTTCACACCTGCTGAGAGGGAGGCCAAAATAAAGTACTATAAAAACCACCTATGTAGTCAGTTGGTCTCTGCCTTTCTGCGCCAACGTCCATCCTCAGACACTGTGGGCCCTGTGCGCTCGCGTTCCGCTGCCATGGCAGCAGGGGAGGGGTGGGGTGGTAGGAGCAGTGGCAGCTCCACCAGCAGCGTGGGTCCCTGTACGGCCTCCCATTGCTGCTGTCTCCATCGCCACACTCTGCCATGTGCCACTTTCAGGTCTCCTCACACTGCTGGTGGGTTCCATTTTGTCATAGGGTGCTGTATGGCCTCCCATTGCTGCTGCCTCCACCGCCACACTGTGGCTCCACACTCTGGTTTTGGCCCCGTGACTGGCCAAATGAGTGAAGTGTGCGGTGATTCTAAGATCGACGGCACTCATCTGCATGTCATACTGACTGACAGTATTATTTCTCTTCCCCAGCAGACTCCAAGGGCATTTAAATTAAAGGTACAGTGTTCTGCACTAATATAAAGGCTCTCTGAAGCCTACAAACACCCTTTTATAAGTTAAATTTGCAGCGAATATATTTGACTCGAATCAATTTTTTTTCACGAATTCGCCGAATCAGTCGAATCGAATTTTTGAATACTTCGCTCATCTCTAGTTGGTATATAAATCTCTTATTTGTGATATACCTCTGATTTCCCATTGTGATAGGTTTAAAAAGGGGATTAGGAGGTGTAAAGTGGAAATAGGCGTGTAAATACTCTTCATTTCGGAATCTGGGTGTTTCGCTGATAGGAACCAGGCCTGTAGGGTGGCTTTCATACAGGGGTGTTTGAAAAGTAGGTGAGTTTGAGAATTTTGCGGTAGGAATAATAGTTTGTGGAGTGTGTATCTAAGAGGTGGGAGGTTTTCCATGTTGGTCCATGTCTTATCTTTAGTGGGATGCCACCAAAAGAATAGTTGGTCCAGAAGCGTGGCGTTATAATAGGATTGTAAATGTGGGAGTCCCGCCCCTCCTTTTGAAGGGGGTCGTAGTAATAGGCTGGTCGAGTATCTAGGTTTTTTGGAGTCCCATGTGAATTTATTGAGGATCGTCTGGAGTTTGGAAAAAAAGGAACTGGGAACTGGGATCGGGAGAGTTCGGAAAATGTAGAGTATTTTACGTAAAATGCACATTTTTAAGGTAGCAATTCTACCCAATGTTGAGAGGGTAGATGTACGCATTTGTTTGAGTTCTCGTGGAATAGAGTCAAGTAATGGCTTGTGATTAGCGTTATATAATTGGTTTGTTGTATTAGTAAGTTTAATTCCCAAATAAGGAATGCTGTATTGTTCCCATGTGAAAGGGAAGTGTTTACCAATCAAATTTTGGATTTTATGCGGAGTGTATAGGTTTAGAATGGAGGATTTTGGCTCGTTAAGTTTATAGTAAGAGATGTCTGAGTAGTTGTGAAGATGAGAGCGTATCGTTTGGAGTGATTTATAAGGGTTAGTGATCATGAGAATAATATCGTCTGCAAAGAGACTAATTTTGTGTTCTGTTTCAAGATGGTTGATACCCGAAAAAGAAGGGTCATCTCTGAGTTTGGATGCTAAGGGTTCAATTAGTAAGGTAAAAATTATGGGTGAGAGTGGGCATCCCTGTCTGGTGCCGTTGGAGATCTGGAAGGTTTGGGAGAGAGTACCGTTATTTATGACTTTGGAGGAAGGTTTGGAGTATAGGGAGAGTATTGCCGATAGCATCCAATCTAGAATCCCAAATTTCTGCAGGGTGAGTTTCATGAAGAGCCAATTGATTTGATCGAATGCTTTTTCAGCATCTAGGGACAAGAGTAATGAGGGTTGTTTAGTGGATTCTAGGTTGTGTAGTAGGGATATAATTCTTCTAGTTGCGTCGGGTGCTTGTCGGCCTGGGATAAAGCCTACTTGGTCCGGATGGATTAGTGTGGGGAGGTATGGAAGCAACCGTTGTGCGAGAAGTTTGGCATATAATTTATGTCTGTATTTAAAAAGAGAAATCGGTCTATAATTTTGAACCAGTTGGGGGTCTTTATTTGGTTTGGGTATTGTGGTAATGATGGATTGTAGCATTTCAGGGGGGAAAGTACCTGTGGAGGCAGTATGGTTGAATAATGTAGATAAATGAGGTGTGAGGTTAGGCGCAAACGTTTTATAGTATTCGTTTGTAAATCCGTCGTTGCCTGGAGATTTGTTAAGGGGTAGTGTAGTTATGCTATGTTGTATCTCTGTAGGAGAAATTGGAAGCGATAGAGACGTAAGCTGAGATGATGTGAGACGCGGTAGGTTGGTAGTGTCTAAAAAGTTTTGAATGGTCTCAATTGTAGGTTGGTTTGTATCAGGGTCATTTTTGATGTTGTAAAGTTCCTGGTAATAAGTTGCAAATGCATTAGATATATCTTGTGGGTTAGTGAGTAGTGTTTGAGTGGTTGGGTGTTGGATAGTGGCAATTTTTGATTTAAGTCGTTTTTGTTTAATCGTTTTCGATAAGAGGGAGCTTGCCTTGTTACCTAATGCATAGAATCTAGATTTAGTTCTCTGAAGCTTGAGATCGTAGTTGTGTAGTAGAAGGAGTCGTAATTTATTTCTATCTGAGGTCAAGGTTGCAGTTATGGAGGGATTTGGGTTGTTTTTATTGGACTCTTCATTGATTTTGATGGCGGTTAGTAATTGATCAATTTGGTGGGATCGTTGTTTCTTGATTCGGGAATTTAGTTGTATGAGGATGCCTCTCATGTAGGCCTTATATGTAAGCCATAGTGTTGTAATAGGGATATCGGGGGTAGAGTTGGTGTCAAAAAACAAGTTGTGAGCATCTAACAAATGTTTCTGATGATCTACGTTTTTTAGTATTATGGAGTTTAATCTCCAAATAGGTGGGAGCGCTGCGCGTTGATTGTCGTCTAATGTAATGTTGATTGGAGCATGGTCTGACCAGATGATCGTGCCTATTTTGGACGAAGTTATGTGTTGCAGTGTCCATTTATCCGTAGGAAGAAGTCAATTCTGGAATATGCGAGGTGTGTAGGAGAATAATAGGTAAAGTCTCTTTCAGTGCCGTGATGGCATCTCCAAATGTCGTATAGGTCGTGATTATGAAGAAATTGATTGAAGGTTTGTTTAGGTACTCTTCTGTGGAAGGACGAGTCCAATTGTGCGTTGCCAATGATATTGAAATCTCCTCCAATAATAAGTCTGCCTTGTTTTAAGGAAGTGATGGTTTTGTAGAGCTTGTTGTAAAATTTGATCTGGCGTTTGTTGGGGCCATAGACATTTACTAAAGTATAGAGAATGTCATTCAGACGGCAAATTAGGATGTGATAGCGACCTTGAGAGTCGGCGAGTTCTGAAATGAGGCTGAATTGGATAGAGTCCTTTATGGCGGTTATGACGCCATTTCTTTTCTTGGGGTTTGTAGCCAAAAATATATGCGTAAATCGATTAAGGTGGAATTTGGGAGTCCTGTTTGTGGCAAAGTGAGATTCTTGAACAAAGAGGATGTCGGCCTGAGATTTTTTCGATTCTCTTTGGAGCATCGACCTTTTAAACGGCGAGTTCAAACCACGGACATTAAGAGAAGTAAGGTTAATCATATTGTAGTTTTTGAGTGCTGAATTGAATATTGCATTGGAGTCTTGAAGGAATGAAAAGTTTTGTGGTTGTTTCTGTGGAAGGAAGTGTTTCATCAGTTTGATTGAAGCTGTTCGAATTAGGTCTCGTATTTATGATGAGAGATTTACAAAAGTTCATCAAGGTCAGATGATCAATAGAGTAGCAGCGAGTGACTGGTGGTGCTGAGGAGGGAGGATATGGTGAGGGTGGCAGGGGGTAAAAAAAATACTTGCAAATAATGCAAGTGGTCTGAGTAGCTGGTCTTGCTACTACAGATTTGGGGGGTTTGATTAGGCTTTGACCGTAACATAGGTCAAGCCAACTGAATCTTGGGAACATAAAACTTCCTAAACATGGCCGTGTGCCAGAGAATAATGAGGTGGGTGGTATAGCAACTTGTAGTGTAAGAGTTAGAGATGAGCGAATTATTCAAAAATTCAATTCGGCTGATTCGCCGAATTTGCTGAATAAATTTGATTTGATGCAAATTTATTCGCTGCGAATTTAACTTATAAAAAGGGTTTCTAGGCTTCAGAGAGCCTTTATATTAGTGCAGAACACTGTACCTTTAATTTAAATGTCCTTGGAGTCTGCTGGGGAAGAGAAATAATACTGTCAGTCAGTATGACATGCAGATGAGTGCCGTCGATCTTAGAATCACCGCACACTTCACTCATTTGGGCAGTCACGGGGCCAAAACCAGAGTGTGGAGCCACAGTGTGGCGGTGGAGGCAGCAGCAATGGGAGGCCATACAGGGACCCATGACACACTCTGGACCTGGCAGCAGCAATGGGAGGCCATACAGGGACCCATGACACACTCTGGACCTGGCAGCAGCATGAGGAGGCGGTACAGGGGCCCATGGCAGAGTGGAGAAGAAGAAGAAGAAGATGAGGATGAAGAAGAAGATGAGGATGAAGAAGAAGAAGAAGAAGAAGATAAGGATGAAGAAGAAGAAGAAGAAGATGTGGATGAAGAAGAAGAAGATGTGGATGAAGAAGAAGAAGATGAGGATGAAGAAGAAGATGAGGATGAGGATGAAGAAGAAGAAGATGAGGATGAAGAAGAAGAAGAAGATGAGGATGAAGAAGAAGAAGATGAGGATGAAGAAGAAGAAGAAGAAGAAGAGAAGAAGAAGAAGAAGAAGAAGAAGAAGAAGAAGAAGAAGAAGAAGAAGAAGAAGAAGAAGAAGAAGAAGAAGAAGAGGATGAGGATGAAGAGGATGAGGATGAGGATGAAGAAGAAGAAGAAGAAGAAGAGGAAGAGGATGAGGATGAAGAAGAAGAAGAAGAAGAGGATGAGGATGAAGAAGAAGAAGAGGATGAGGATGAGGATGAAGAAGAAGAAGAAGAAGAAGAAGTAGGATGAAAATAAGAACAATTCCAGTCCAGCAAAAAGTGTATCTGCAGAGAGCTCCGCTATTTCTGACAGTTCTCTGACAGTTCCTTCACATTTACAGCGGTTGAAACATTGTATCTATTTGTTTCCGAATAAAAACATCTGTATCCTAAATGGAAACAAATAGATACAATGTTTCAACCGCTGTAAATGTGAAGGAACTGTCAGAGAACTGTCAGAAATAGCGGAGCTCTCTGCAGGGACACTTTTTGCCGGCTGTAGAAGGGATGAAAATCGGCCGATCGGGAAAAATTTGATTCGTGCATCCGAAGTTTGCTAAAATTCGGATTCGGCGCAAATCAAATTTTTCCTAATATTCAAAACGAATTCCACTTCGCCAAGTTCGATTCGCTCATCTCTAGTAAGAGTATTAAGATACCAGAAGTTGGATGTGGTTGTGTTATTCATCTTCCATATTCTGGAGTAAAGTAGGTGTGGATTGTTGCGTTTCTCCAGGGATAATATTCCAGGCTTTGAGGAGGTCTAAGCCTGCTTC